GTGAGAACCTCAAGTCTTATATAATAATTTTAACAGTCCCAATCCAATACTCCTTTACTTATCTCTCTTAAGTTCAGGTGCTGACCTCATTTTACTCTTCTCGAACACTGAATTAAATGTATCAAACAAAAAGGTATATTATGCTTTAGAAGCCTGGTAACTATGAAATTATACGAAACAGACGTGCTCCATAAAGCAGCTTTGAAAATCGCCAAAATCGAATTGTGTTCTTGTATGTTGATGGCTTTTTTTATTTTATTGTGGACGTAAAGATATGGTATCATCAGCAAGGATTATTTAAAATTAACATCGTGTCCATGATTTGTGAATCCTGAGAGATATACATAGACTCTATAGACTTGTGGCGAATGTAAAAATACTTTGTCATCATTAATTTGGAAGCACTGAGTAAAATTAAGAGAAACACTTATAAAGATCCCTGAGCACACGACTAGGATTCAAGCCACGAACCAAACGTACACATGCTGTTCTTGAAAACCAGTCTCTTGGTTGACTGATTCGCTTGTTGTACCGTAATTGTTTTGTTATGCACGAATATTCTCTGTAAGTCTCGCATCAAAAATGAGACACGGTTTTAGAAAAGGACACTGTTGTCTGATACCCACTCAGTCACTCTGTTACTCAAGTCCTGACACAGTCGCTAGAGCACTCTGTCCTTCATTCGACGGTTATGTGAGTTATGAGATTCTCAAGGCGGTAAAAATATCGATATTGATCTTCTGGTTTGTAACGCAGTGTAGTTTGGTAGAAGTTTACTGATGTGCCAAATATCCTTGTTGCTTCCATCATCAGGATGATAATGATGGTGGAAGCAAGAACCTCTGAAACGTCGGTGAACTTCTACCTGACTATACACGGTACTACAACTCCGAAGACAGCCATATTTGTGTTTACAAATGCAGATCAGGATAATTTATAGTTAGGTTGTATTGTAGGTTTCAGGAAGTTTCAAGAAGTGTCTTGACCACATGACGAGGTGTTTTGTGTTTACTGTTTGATGTTTCGCCGTAAAGACAATAATAATGTGAAATTTGGCTTTATGAGGCGGACAGATGTTACGAGCCTCGTGTTCCTTGTAAATAATTGGATTGTCTTATGTTTTGAAATGGGAGATTCATTTATTTGGAGATATAAAAGCCTAGTTCTAATAAAATCCTGTTTGTCGCCTTTATTTCGGCTATTTTTCTCTTATTTTACTTGAATCACTGTTATCAATTATTTATGACTGATTTATTTACGTCCTTTTCTCCTTTCTTGTCATCTTCCTTCCGCTTTCATTTATTTGTATCCCTTTTCAGCCTTCCAATCTTTATTTTTCTTTTATATTTTCGTTCCTTTCCTCTTTAAATATTTACTTCTAATCTTCCCGCATTTTCATTATTCCTCTCTGCCTGTTATTTTTTGTGATGGAGTTACTGTCCGACGTCGTAAGTCCAAAACCTCTTAGTGTGCTCAAATATTCATGTTTGAACTCACTGTAGTCACTTGCTTAATGTCAGGAACAAAGCGCATTCATCGCTGTTCTCTGTCCTTGCAGACCTCAAGAAGCAGTTCGACTCGCCGTATATTTTAATTTTTTAGAACTTATGTGCATGAACATGGTACACTTTAAGATCATAGACCGTGATGGTAATGTACGTACAGGCTAAGTTCATATGCTTCGAAGTTCATAAGACCACTGTTGCGAAGAAAAATAATTTAGCACATTAGAGTACTAGGTCTATGTGCTACAAGGAGGGATAGAGTGCGGACATCGAAAGTTATAGTCGAGGTAGCTGGCTCAAAGAATCGACCAAAATACTTCTCTAGAAAGATTTCGGATTCTCTCATACGTGATTACGAGATGGCTATCTTCTGGGTTGTATCATCGTGTAGAT